TCCCTCTACTGCTCCTCAGCGTGTCCCTCTACCGTCTCCTCCTGCGTCCTCTTTGCCTGACGTTCCGGACCCTGAGTCTGACCGGTATCGTGCTGAGCACCCTACTGTCACGCGTCTCCTCGCTACTGTTGTCACTGACCCTACCTTTGAGTCCTCGGCTGCGTCTGCTCTGGTCGCTGAGTTGGTTGACTTTGCTGCTGCCTGTCGTCTAGACTACGCTGCTAGCCTTGTTGCTGAGTCTGCGTCTGAGTCTGTCTGTCCTTCGTCCGTCGGGGGTGAGTGTGCTCTTGGCACGGACGTCCTTGAGGACAGACAGGAGGAGTTCCAGTGTCTTGCTGCTACTTTGCCCCGTCTCGTGTCCTTGCTAGTTGCCCCTGAGGGAGACCCGGATGCACCAGACATCCCGACCCCGCGCTCTTACGCAGAGGCGATGGCAGGTCCCTACTCCTCTCAGTGGCAGGCAGCTATGGACGCAGAGATGGCTTCCTGGAAGTCCACACGCACCTACGTCGACGAGGTTCCCCCTCCTGGGGCGAACATCGTCAGTGGCATGTGGATTTTCAGGGTGAAGCGGCCGCCGGGTTCTCCGCCTGTCTTCAAGGCGCGTTACGTGGCTCGAGGCTTCAGTCAGCGAGAGGGAGTTGACTTCTTCCAGACCTTCTCCCCCACCCCGAAGATGACTACTCTTCGGGTGCTGCTGCACATAGCCGCTCACCGCGACTACGAGCTTCACTCACTTGACTTCAGCACTGCTTTCTTGCAGGGCAGCCTGCACGAGGAGATCTGGCTGCGCCGCCCACCTGGCTTCACTGAGTCGTTTCCTCCTGGTACCCAGTGGAGGCTTCAGCGGCCGGTCTACGGTCTCCGCCAGGCTCCGCGTGAGTGGCACGACACACTGAGGACTACACTTGCGGCTCTTGGGTTCGCGCCTTCTACAGCTGACCCGTCACTGTTCCTGCGCACCGACACTTCGCTGCCGCCGTTCTACATCCTCGTGTACGTCGACGACTTGGTCTTTGCCACTGCTGACACTGCAGGACTCGCCTACGTGAAGTCGGAGCTGCAGAGGAGACACACGTGCACAGACCTGGGTGAGCTGACAAGCTATCTTGGCTTGCGGATCACCCGGGACAGAGCACGGCGCACCATCACCTTGACTCAGTCACACATGGTGCAGCAGGTTCTCCAGCGCTTTGGCTTCACGTACTCCTCGCCTCAGTCCACTCCTCTGCCTACCGGTCACTCGCTCTCAGCTCTACCTTCGGATGAGTCCGTAGAGCCGAGTGGCCCGTATCCAGAGCTTGTGGGCTGCCTCATGTACCTGATGACCTGCACTCGACCTGACCTTGCATACCCTCTTAGCATCCTTGCACGCTATGTCGCTCCTGGCCGTCACAGGAAGGAGCACATGGATGCCGCTAAGAGGGTGTTGCGCTACTTGTGCAGTACGTCGGGCATGGGGCTTGTGCTTGGAGGGCGAGACCGAGTTGTGCTCACAGGGCACTCAGACGCTTCTTGGGCAGACGACCAGGCCACTCAGCGGTCGTCTCAGGGTTACACCTTCAGCCTTGGCTCTGGCTCAGTTTCTTGGCGCTCTACACGCTCTTCTTCTGTTCTCGGCTCCAGTTGCGAGGCTGAGATCTATGCTACAGCCATGGCTGCCCAGGAGCTACGCTGGCTGACCTACCTGCTGACTGACCTCGGAGAGCCGCCTCGTTCTCCTCCAGTACTGTACGTCGACAACAAGGCTGCCATTGCCTTGTGTGAGGAGCACAGACTGGAGCACAGAACGAAGCACATCGCCCTGCGGTACTTCCTTGCTCGAGAGCTGCAGCAGCGCAGTCAGCTTTGTATTCGCTACGTGGCCACTGAGGCCAACACTGCTGATGTGTTCACCAAGGCGCTTCAGCCTCGTGACCATCAGCGCTTCTGCACTCTACTAGGCCTTGTGCCTACTGGTCCTCACTTGCTTACCTCTTGACTTTGCTTGTACTGTGATCACTATATATATCTATACCTGCATGTTTACTCTTGCTAGGTTGTGATCACTGTATCTCTGGCTCTGTTATAAACCTGCATGTGAACTAGTCTTGTGACCACTAGCTTGTGCTCGGAATTTGTGTGGAATCCTCGAGATCCACCCTGAGCTTGTTGTTGCCTTGCTTTGCCTTGACTGGTCTTGTGACCCCTAGGTCTCCCCCACTTTGCCTATGGGGGTGTGTCAAACATTATATATGTTGGGTTTGTTAGGCTACAGTGGGTTAGCCTATATGGGGTACACAATTCTAGGGTTTGCTATTTGTACTGATTTCTCTGTTAGTTCAATCATTCCAGTCCGTTTATTCTGACACTAACCTCTGGACAAAAATCTCGACTTCACAAGAAACGCCGTCGACGAAAAGTTAACCGTTCGAAATCTTTCAAACTCGAGTATGTTGTAGCCCTTGACCGTGGCTATCTTTCACAATTTCAATCCTATCAAAAGATGAAGTATATCTCGAGTTATGATTTTCGGCGCACTAGGGGGTATGCTGCCATGGAATATTAACTCAATCACAATAGTTCTCACAAGTTCCACAAAGAAGATTGGAGTAGCTAAAAACCAGGTAGGAGGGAAGAGGAGGATGAGAGGGAAGGTCCCAAGGGAGTCCCCAACCAAGGAAACCTCATACCACACAATTCCCCTCTCTTTAGGCACCCCAACTTTGACATTTGTCACTTTCCCGACACATGTCATCCACCTCACCCAACTTGGCCACACTTGGCTCCTCCCAACCACTTGACAGCATCTACAGTGATGGGGACGAATTTCCCAACCCCCAAAAGTCTGTACCCCATATTGAGTCACACCACAAATTCCCATAGTTTCCACAACCAAATATCAAAAGCATACGAACTTCAAATGTTCGCAACTTTCTCGTTCGTGCTCCGATCGCGACGATTCTTGGTTCGCCGGAAAGCTCTTGAGCTGAGCAGTCACTTCAAACATCTGCTCAGGCCAAATAACATTCACACACACTCAGAAAATCCAAACCACACAAAACACAAATTCTTGCACACGCTCACATCACGCATGCAACGCACGAACATATGATGGGAGGCAGACAGACGTGAATGCGAATGATAGCATCACACAGCAGGGATGTCCAGTGCATTCAGGTCTCCCTCAGGGGCAAGCAGCATGGCCACGAGATGAGGCGCAGCGGCCGCAAGACACTCAAGGTCCTCCTGTCTGTCCTCAAGGACGTCCGTGCCAAGAGCACACTCACCCCCGACGGACGGAGGACAGATAGACTCAGACTCAGCAACAAGACTTGCGGCGTAGTCGAGACGACAAACAACAGCAAAGTCAACAAGCTCAGCAACTAAGGCAGACGCAGCAGCGGACTCAAACGAAGGGTCAGTGACAACAGTGGCTAACAGACACGTGACAGTAGGGTGAGCAGCACGAACCAGGTCAGACGCAGGGTCCGGAACGTCAGGCAGAGAGGACGCAGGAGGAGACAGCAGAGGGACGCATAGAGGAACAGAGGAAGGACGAAGTGTCATAGTGTGAGTACCTGGCACAGGGGGAGGACGCGAACGCGGAACACGACGGCCAGTGCGGACAGTGCGAAGAGGCGAGGCAAGACGAGACGCAGGCTCACGACGCTCTGCAGGCGACTCAGATTGCGAAGGGTAAGGAGAAGGCGCAAGCAGTAGGGAGCCAGGCTCTAACGGGAGGCCAGTAGAAGACGGGAGGGTAAGAACCTGGTGAAGCAGAGAGTCAGGTGATGGCAAAGACGTAGGCGACGGTGGAGAAAAGAACAGGCGCGGCTGGGCAGAAGCACCAGCTCCAGGGTCCGCAGCACTACCAGCGCCGGCAGCTCGAGCACCCGAAGTGCGAGCACCTCCGGGACTAGCAATGCTCGAATGACCAGCACCACCAGCACCAGCCGCACCACCAGCTCCAGCAGCGGCAGAACCTCCAGTACCAGCAGCACCTCCAGCTCCAGCGCCTCCAGCGGCAGCGGCTCCAGCTCCAGAACCCCCAGCTCCAGAACCTCCAGCGGCAGCGTCACCAGCTCCAGAACCTCCAGCTCCGGCGCCTCCAGTGGCAGCGTCTCCAGCTCCAGAACCTCCAGCTCCAGCGCCTCCAGCTCCAGCACCTCCAGTGCCGGTGTCCCCAGCTCCAGCACCTCCAGCAGCGCCGCGCCGGAGGCGAGTGCGCTTAGCGAGCCACTTGCGTAGCTGCTGTGGTGAGAGGGACTCCCGCTGGGGAGACCGCGGAAGGGAGGCACCAGGAAGACGACCAAGGGACGCAGCACCCCCAGGCTCAGCACCCCCAGGCCCAGCACTCTCAGAAGTAGCACCCCCAGGCTCAGCACCTCCAGACGCAGCACCCCCAGGCTCAGCACCCCCAGCCTTAGCTCTTGCAGAAGCAGCACCCCCAGGCTTAGCAACCCCAGGCCCAGCACCCTCAGACGCAGCACCCCCAGGCTCCGCTGTTAGAAGTAAGGGAGAAGGGTTGCACTATAGAATGGCAAGTACAAATAGGTCAAAAGCATGCAAGGAGTGGTGCACCACCACACAGAACACATATGTGACTACACTACAGCTAGACTACATGCACTTATACAAAACACATGCAATATGTGTTCTGACACACCCCCTAAGTGCATGCAGGAATAGCCTTGTGCAGAAAACCCCTTGAAGTGGTGCACCCTGCAAGGAGTAGCAGAAGAAGAGGCGAAGTGAGGAGGGACTGGGAGAGGAGTGGAGATAGGAGGCGACAGGTGAAGCCGCAGTCACACGGGCAACAGGAGCGGCGCGCACAGTGGCTACCGAGCGCACGAGGGCACCGGACTACGGGAGTATCTGGCTCCGCGGCTACGACGAGCGGCAGGAGCAACGGACCCACAGGCGACTGGCGAAGCAGGCTCGCTGGGCTACCGAGAGCACGAGGGCTCCGGACTACTGGCGCTGCTGACGACACGACAGCGACCTCCACTCAACCTCCCCTAACTGTCCCACACCCCCTTCTCACACACCCCCTTGCTGCACCCCTAGCTCCACTCCCACGACACCCCCCTAGCGCCACTCCCTCGGCTCCCACACACCCACCCCCCTCAGCGGCAGCTGCAGCAGTGGGAGACGGAGGAGGAGGAGGAGTAGGGGACGGCTCACACTCCCGCCTCCCCAATACCCGCCACCCCCAAACCCTAAATGCACGGCGGTGCTACGGGCGACGGGCAGGGGGGGGGGGGGGCGGGTCCCTAGGGGCGCCACGACGGGCGACGGGGGGGGCGACGCGCGGGTCCTTGGGGGCGCCACGACGGGCGACGGGGGGCAACGCGCGGGTCCCTGGGGGCGCCACGACGGGCGACGGGGGACGACGCGTGGGTCCCTGGGGGCGTCGCGACGAACGACGGGGGGGACGCGCGGGTCCCTGGGTGCGCCACGACGGGCAACGGGGGGGCGACGCGCGGGTCCCCTGGGGCGCCCCGACGGACGACGGGGGGCGACGCGCGGGTCCCTGGGGGTGTCGCGACGAATGACGGGGGGGACGCGCGGTTCCCTGGGTGCGCCACGACGGGCGACGGGGGGGGCGACGCGCGGGTCGCCTGGGGCGCCGCGACGGGCGACGGGGGGGGACGCGCGGGGCAGGAAATCGCCACGCGCCCCGAGCGCGTGGCGAGCAGAAAACCGCCACGGGCCCAGAGCGCGTGGCGGGAAGAAAACAAAAAATGTCGCACGCCATGGGGCGCGCGACAGACAGTACAGCAGCGGAAGCTTAGGGTAGGGATGTCCAGTGCATCCGGGTCTCCCTCAGGGGCAAGCAACATGGCCACGAGATGAGGCGCAGCGACGGCAAGACAGTCAAAGTCCTCCTGCCTGTCCTCAAGGACGTCCGTGCCTAGAGCACACTCACCCCCGACGGACGGAGGACAGACAGACTCAGACTCAGCAACTAGACTGGCAGCGTAGTCGAGACGACAAGCAGCAGCAAAGTCAACAAGCTCAGCGACCAAGGCAGACGCAGCAGCGGACTCAAACGAAGGGTCAGTGACAACAGTGGCCAACAGACGCGTGACAGTAGGGTGAGCAGCACGAAGGAGGTCAGACTCAGGGTCCGGGACGTCAGGCAGAGAAGACGCAGGAGGAGACGGCAGGGGAACGCGCAGAGGAACAGAGGAAGGACGAAGTGCCATAGTGTGAACACCTGGCGCAGGGGGAGGACGTGGACGAGGCACACGACGAGCAGTGCGAACAGTGCGAACAGGCGAGACAGGACGCGACGCAGGCTCATGACGCTCTGAAGGCAGCGGAGAGCCGGGCTGTAACGGGAGGCCAGTAGAAGACGGGAGGGTAAGAACCTGGCGAAGCACGGTGTCAGGCGGCGGCAGGGACGACGGAGACGGCGGAGCGAAGAACAGGCGCGACTGTGCCGTACCACCAGCTCCAGGGTCCGCAGCACTACTAGCCCCGGCAGCTCCAGCACCCGAAGTGCGAGCACCTCCGTGATCAGTAGCGCTCGGACGACCAGCACCTCCAGTACCAGCAGCACCACCAGCTCTTGTAGTCGCAGTACCTCCAGCACCAGCAGCACCCTCGCCTCCAGGGCCAGCACCTCCAGCGCCTCCAGCAGCAGCAGCTCCAGCGCCTCCAGCGTCAGCAGCTCCAGGGGCTCCAGCGCCAGCAGCTCCAGCTCCAGCACCAGCAGCAGAAGCACCCCCAAAACCAGCACCTCCAGCTCCAGGGTCTCCAGCCTCAGTACCTCCAGCAGCAGCACCCCCAGAACCAGCACCTCCAGCAGCAGGGTCTCCAGCCCCAGAATCCGCAGCAGCAGCAACCCCAGAACCAGCACCTCCAGCCCCAGGGTCTCCAACTCCAGGGTCGACAGCACCAGCTCCAGGGCCTCCAGCCCCAGTACCCCCAGAAGCAGCACCCCCAGAACCAGCACCTCCAGCAGCAGGGTCTCCAGCCCCAGGACCCGCAGCAGCAGCACCCCCAGAACCAGCACCTCCAGCTTCAGCAGCACGACGTCTCAGGCGGGTACGCCACGCAAGCCACTCTCGTAGCTGCTGTGGTGAGAGAGGTCCCCGCCGGGAAACAAGACCCTGAGGAACGCCAGCAGACTCAGCACCCCCCGACCCGGCACCCTCCAGCTCAGCACCCTCATGCTACACACCCCCCAGCACCTCACGCACAGGCTCAGCACCCCCAGACGCAGCACCCCGAGTAGCACCACCCCTGTGAGGATCTGGTTTAGGAAAGATGATTCTATTGAATGATTCACCTGGGTACAAGGCGAGGCTATATATAGGCTCGACACAAAGGCAGTAACCCGGGTGTGACTAGAAGGTTCCGCGGGTCGCGAAGCATCCCGAACGGGTCCTTCCCAAATTCGGTAGAAGGCAATTCGGTGGCAACCAAAAAGCCTAGAATTCGGTGCACTCAACCTAGTTCGGTGCCTACAACTATAATAACTATAGTAAAGGCAACGAATCTAGGAAATCAAGCAAAAGCATGCAAGATAAAGCAAAGCTAAGCTAGATAATGCATAGTAAAGCAGAATCAAGCTACTAAAGCGTAGCAATGACGTCGTACTCTCACAACCCCCAGCAGCACTAGAGTCAACAGGAACCGGCTCAGCCGGGGCGTCAGCAGCAACGTCACCCCCCTCAGCTGGGCCAGAGGTGTCAGAAGTGACCTCCAAAGGCTCAGCCAAGGGGAGTGGGTCTACCTGAGACACACCTGAGGGAGCAGGACCCTGAGGGGGAAGGGGTCGACCGGAGGGGGACCTGGAGCGAGAAAAAGCGGCGGGGGAGGGAGAGGGGCAGTGCGGTAGGGGAAGAGACGGTAGAAAGGAACCGACTCGTCAAAGGTGACGTCCTGGGAGGCGAAGACCCTGCGCGAGGTGGGGTGGTAAAACTGCCAGCCAGGCGCGTCAAGGACAAAGCCAAGGAAGACACAGGAAATGGTGCGGGAGGAGAGCTTGTCCGCGGACGTATCGCGGACAAGGGCACGAGCACCCCAGACCCGGAAGCGCGACGCATCGCCAACCTCCCCCATCCAACGCAGTGTGGGCGAGGTGTCCGGCAAGGACACACGGGGCCAGAGGTTGAGCTGCTGCGCAGCGTACCGGACTGCAAACGGCCACAGGAAATGGGGAGCCGCCGCATGGATCAAGGAGGTACGAGCGATCTCCATGACCAAACCAATGCGGCGCTCAGCAACCCCATTTTGCTGCGGTGAGCCCGGAAGCGTGAACGACTGCTCAATGCCCTCCCCCTGACAGAAGGCCCGCAAGAGGTCGGAGGAGAACTCACCACCTCTGTCAGAGTGCAGACGCAGGACAGGAAGTGTCAGAATATTATGCTCTAGCCTGCAGTGGGGTGCTCTATAGCGAGTACAACCCTTCTAGGGTTAGCTATTTGTACCACCATTGTTGCTAGTGCAAACCCTCTTTGCTTCATTCTCTCTTGCCTAGCTAGGTCAACCCTAGCTATGGCTCCTCAGTATACCCACTATCTCGACATGCTATCAGAGCAGGACGATCCTGTTGGGTCGATCCTGTGGGTGGGCCCCACCACCTCAGTCTTCCGCTGCTCCTACTACTGTCTGTGTCGCACGCCCCGTGGCGTGCGACGGATTTTTTATCCCGCCGCGCGCTCGGGGCGTGCGGCGGTTTTCTCCCCGCCGTGCGCCCCGAGGCGCGCGGCGGTTTCCTACCGTGGGGGACCCCGCGCGCCCCCGCCCTTTCCGTTGCGACGTCCTGGGAAGCCGCGCGCGGCCCCCCGCGGCCCCGATTTCCCGTCGCGCCGCCCTGGGGAGCCGCGCGCGGCCCCCCGCTACCCCGATTCGCCGTCGTGCCGCCCTGGGGAGCCGCGCGCGACCCCTCGCTGCCCCGTCGACGGCCGCGACGCCCTGGGGAGCCGCGTGCGGCCCCCGATTTCCCGTCGCGCCGCCCTGGGGAGCCGCGCGCGACCCCCCGCTGCCCCTTCGCGGCGCCCTAAGGAGCCGCGCGCGGCCCCTCGCTGCCCCGTGGTGGCGTCCTGGGGGCCGTGCGCCGTCCCCCTCGCCGTCCCCCGCGCTCCTTCCCCCGTTCCGCCCGTTTTAGGGTTTGGGGGTGAGGAGTGTGGGGGTGGCGACTATGGGGGTGTCGGTTGTGAGTTCCTCCCCCTGCTCCTCCTCCTCCCTAGTCTCCCTCTGCTACAGCTGCCGCTGAGGGGGGTGGTGTGTGGGAGCCTAGGGTTTGGGGTTTAAGGGGGGTACCGTGGGAGTGGAGCTAGCTAGGGTTTGAAGCAGGGGGTGTGTGTCGAGGGGTGTGGGACTGTTGGGGGAGGTTGAGCGGAGGTTGCCGTCGTGTCGTACGCAGCGCCTGTACTCCGGGGCACTCATTCCCGGTAGCTCAGAGAGCCGGTTGCGCCGTCGCCTGTGGGTCCGTTGCTCCTGCCGTGCATATTAGCCGCGGAGCCTGTTACTCCTGTACTCCGGGGCACTCATTCCCGGTAGCCACGTTGTCGCACCAGAGCCGTCTGTTGCCCGTGTGTCTGCATCTTCAGTCGTCGCCTCCTATCTACTCTCCTCTCGCCAGCCCTCCTCCTCCTCACTTGCCCCCTGTGACTGCCTCTAGCTTTGCTCATAATTTGAACCTTAAACTATTGCTTCTTGCTTGTGCTCAGAATGTGTGGTGACATCGTGATCCACCCTGAGCTTGTACTGCTTTGCTTGCTCTGCTGATTACACCCCACTTTGACTATGGGGGTGTGTCAGAATATTATGCTCTAGCCTGCAGTGGGGTGCTCTATAGCGAGTACAACCCTTCTAGGGTTAGCTATTTGTACCACCATTGTTGCTAGTGCAAACCCTCTTTGCTTCATTCTCTCTTGCCTAGCTAGGTCAACCCTAGCTATGGCTCCTCAGTATACCCACTATCTCGACAGGAAGGTATGACCGGAACCGGCGGCGGAGCTAGAGACGAACTGCTCGGACCCAAGAGATCAGGACAGCAGGGACTTCACCCTTGGTGCGCAAGGGGAAGACCGTGGTGTAACGCGAGTAGTCGTCGACAACCAGCAGAAAGTACCGCTCGCCGCCCTGTCCAGTGACGCGAGCTGGGCCCCACACGTCCAGGTGGAGGGTCTGCAAGGGAGCCTCTGTCAGGGGGAACGAGGAGGAATGAGGAGCGGCGCGCTGCCGCCCCTCGACGCAAAGAAGGCAGGGCGGCGCAGGCGAGGCAGGGAGGGGAGGCAGAGACCTGGGAAGACCAGACACAAGGAGGCGACGGTGCATGCCACGTAGACGAGGAGGGGTGACCCAGACGGTGGTGCCAGAGAAGAGTCTGGTGCGACAGGGAGCGACACTCACAAGGGGAGGCTACCAGACCTGACGCAGACACCTGACCAACAGCACCGATCTGAGGAGACGCAGTCGTCAGTGTGTAAAGACTCGACCCTGGCCGACGAGTGAACGTGGCCAGGTGACGGCCAGTCTGTGCACACGTGCAGATCGCCACACGCTGCCAACAGTGCAAGGGTGAAGGTATTAACCCCTGCATCCTGAAGGGCAGCGTTGCTCACCAAGTTCGTCGAGAACGAGGGGAGGTGGAGACCTGACAGTGAGCCAGACGGGACCGCCGGGCACGGAAGCACAGTGGAGGAATGTGCAAGAACTGGGCCCCCGGAGGGGTCAGCCAGGCGGACTGGAACAGGTGCTGGGAGTGGTGTGAGTGCAGTACTGTCACGGAAGAAACAGCGGGAAGCACCTGAGTCAAGCGTGAAGGTGTGCAAGGCCTCAGCAGGCGCAGTACCTGAGAGAGCAGACTCGCTTGCTCCTAAGGCAACTGACTCTATACATGGAGGAGCAGACTCGCTCACACCTAAGGCAACACCTTCTATACCTGGGTCAGGCGGCATACACAGATAACAGTCACCATCAGCACTAACTTCCAATGCATACATAGCAGAGATAATAGCATCCTAATCAAGAGCAAAAATGTCTACACCAGCCCGATACAGCTCATGCCAGCGAGGGCGGTCTATCTCCTCGCCCATCTCCTCACGCCAGGCGTCGTCAAGGCGGGAGAAGCAGCGGTACTGGGTGTGGAACTTGTTCCATGTCTGACCCTTGCGGTCACCTGTGCGAATGACATTGGGCAGCGACCACCACCTCCAGACTTCCCACGCTGAGCAAGCCACTCACGAAGCTGCTGGGATGTCTGGGGACGCTGCTGCTGCTGCTGGCTCTGGCCAGCGCCAGTGCCTCCACCCCGACCGCCACCGCTGCCGCCACCACCGCCCCGCCGCCGGCCGCCACCGCTGCCGCCACTGCCGCTGCCACCCCCTCCGCCTCCACTGCCTCCACTGCCACTGCCACTCCCGCCAGCACTCCCACCACCAGCCCCTCCGCCACCTCCTCCTCCTCCACCTCCACCACCACCCCCCCCGTTGCCACCTCCACTACCCTTGGCTCCCTTGCCCTTGCCGTTGCGGCGCCTCCCACTAGGAGCAGAAGCAGCACCAGCAGACTCAGCACCAAGGAAGTCAACAGCAGCAGCAGTAGCGAAGGAGGGGGCGAGGGGAGAGGGAGAGCACCCCTCAAAGATGGGGGTGCGAGGAGCACCACGAGCAGCAGCTACAGCGACTATACTCTTCTCCGCTGCAAGGAGTTGCTCCTCTAGGAGGTCGATAGTGAGCTCGGTGGGACAGCGAGCGAGAAAGTGGTCCCTGACCGAGCTAAGCGAGTCAGGGAGACGGGTGACTATGAAGTGGAGGGTCCAGTACATCGGAGGCGGGTTCTTAGCACAGAACTCTTTGGGGAGGGCGGCGCAAAGGCGAGTGTCACTAGTGCGAAGGTGGGTGATGAGATTGGCAACGGTGGGAAATGTGGACAACTCAGGAAACAGGTACGGCAGCATGAGGCGGCTAAGCTCAGCAGTGGCAGGGGAGGAGTATCGAGCAACTACAGCGTCGTACAGGGCCTTAGCGGTTTTGTGCTCGCCAAAATGCTTGAGTTCGGCTAGCGGTAGGTGGTTGCGAATGGCTAGGCGGGCAGCAGCGTCACGAGTCTGCCACTGGGAACGAATGCTAAGCTCATCTGCAGCAGCAGGGGCGACGGATGCACCAGACGTGTGGTCGAAAAGCGAAACATTGTCTTTGCTATCGCTCATTAAGAACA